GACGGTTGCGACGGCGTGGCAATCTGGAATTGGGTCGGTGGAAGCTGGTAGCATTTTCGCCATGTGCCAGAGTGCTGCTATGGGTGGCGTAGTCGCAAAGGCCGTTACTGCTGTTGGCGCTGCGGGGGCGGGTGTGGCTGCGTTGCCTGTAGTGTCGAAAACGGTTGGGGCTGTCGCGGGTTGGTTTGGGCGTTGAAGAGGATGATGTACGAGGTGAGTGATGTGCGGAAGGGGTGGTACGTTTGCTGTAATAATGGGAATCGTTCACTAATGAGGAACTAGGATCTTGAGGCCAACTCAAAAAAGAGATGCTAATGGAACGGGGTTGAGATTGTGGGGAGGAAATGTTGTGTAACATTAAAACAATTGAAATATTAATAACAACAATTTTCTTTGTCTTTGGGCATGGATTATGTATAAAACCTCTGAACTGAATTTTCCTTCCTCAAAAACCCCCACAAGTTTGCCCTTCCATTTGCCTTGTATGCAGCCTCGTGCATTATCTTATCCTTGCTTGGATTGCAGCTTGTAAATGGGATATTATTCAAGAAGTGACACCGCCACTTGTTCCAACAGTGTCAACAAATTTGGGCTCGTTAATCGCCGTCTAATCCTCCATAGGAACACCGTACGCCGTAAACACCACAAATAGTTGGGGTCAAGCCACATCCCCATACTACCGACAAGAGAGATTAGGACAAATCTCTCCTTTGCCCGTTTCAAGAATTGTTGTTCCTGGCTGGATGGACAATAGCAATCTACTGCTGCTGCGAGTAGGTATACTTCTTTCTCCATACTGGTCATGCACCGTCTTTTTGCTGAGTTTGTTATGGAGAGGTGGGACGCCAGTGTGTGTGTGTGTGTATATATATATTCTCATTACCTGATGAGTGCCTGATTTAGCTTTTGAAGGTTGTAAACTATCGCAAGGGATGTATAAATCAGCTCGAGAATGATTTCGGAGAGTGACCTACCCCAAATTGAATATATAGCTAATTTTGACCTCCTTCTATTTGTTTAGTCTTTAGATATTGCGAATCGCGTTTTTTTCGAAGGCTTTATTTAGTCCAGAGAGAGAGGTATATGGTTTGTTTGCCATTCCATCAACCCTTAACAACTACAGGGAGAAAGCGTGAGAAGGCGTTTTGAGACCCAAGAGAAAAACAGCATTAGGAAGCGCGCGCTCATTTAACAGCTGAATCTTCCCCTTCTCCCCTATATCTGTGATGTGAATGAAGAAAGTTGGCCTTCATATGCGATTTCGGACTGGTCAACTTATTCGTGGAAGGAAGGTTGACGGGGTGCTATGCTATGCTACGATCCGCCTCTAAACGGGCGCAGAACCACCTAGAAGTGAACGTGTTAGGTAGGGTAGGGGTTAGATGAAATAAAGCCGATGTCGATAGCTTTGATTGATATATGGGGAGGCCAAAGCCACCGCGACTCCACGGATATTTAGTTTTTTACCCTTTTCGTGAATGTAAATTTGGTTGCAATGTTGTTTTCACGCTTGCGTCAGAGAGCATGTGCGCACCGCTCATAAACACCATCTTGGATGGATAGGTATTCGCACACGGCGGTAGCTAAAATGGACCGTGACGTTGTAGCTACTAACATGAAAGTTGATATGAAGGGATTTGAGCCTGGTACGGTACGCTCAGGCAGGCACCCATGACGCGAACGATTGATCCATTTCGATATCGGCATGGAAATAGGAACCCTTCCTCTATTTTTTTTTGGGGGGGGGGGGTTCAATCTGCGTGCGGCTAGTTCGGTAACCCCCCCAAAAAAAGCAGGATTATGAAATAGGCCGGTCCGGACCCTTCTGCTGTGAGAGGGTTTGAGTGAGTTCAATATTGTTTGTTTATGTTGGCTTGTGTAGGTTCTTCATGAGTCTTTGAGAATCATGACTCGGGCTTATACGCAGCGTACGCAGTATGTCAAATTTCCGGACATAGCTGGGTGAAATGTGTTCCATGCAAGGTTGGGGGTTAGCATTCGCTGTAGGAAAATATAACTTACTTCTTAAAACACAAAGGCCTCTTCGTCGCGGGGAAGCACTAGTTAACTGAATGGCACCGAGGGATCCATGAAACCATATCTAAACGGGCTGAGTAACCAGTTACCTGATGCGCTTCGAGGGTGGTGAGCGGTGATAACTAAAGACTTGGGCAAAAAGGAAACGAAAAGAAGAAAAATCAATTCTAGAATGATTCGAAATACAGGGACGAGCTCTCAAAATTCACCGACCGGACGCAACACTCCGCGCCAGATGAAGATGTCAGCGCGAGAAATTCTATCTGGCGCCACTGAACAAAGGTTGGTTCAGGTTCTTCTTGATTTATTAATTAACCCTGACCCACTCACTAAGCTAACTAGAGGTGATGAGATCTCCGGATTGCTAAAAATAATACCTCAGTATATATTGTCAACAATTGCGGATCGGATTCGCCCCTAAAACATTTGAGAGCCATGAATCATGATGATCGATATCTTCGAGTGGTGACATTTTTGTTCGAGAAGGCCCATTAAAAAAATAAAAAAAATAAATATATATATAAAAAAAAAAGAAACTCTGAATTTGGTTTCCACCCCCGCCCTCTTGATGAGTTTGGCGTTCCCCACATGGTTGGTATCTCGAGAGGCAACCATCATCCCATCATATCATCCTATGCACAAGAAGTAATGATGTACATTTTTTTTCAAGCAAGTTTCCTTTGGTAGTTAAAATGGCCCCCGCTCGCCTCTCAAAGCCGGATGAGCAAGTGGTGTTTGCTCCTCCATTCTATCCATTCTATCGACATCCCTGGGGTGTAATATTCACGGAAAGAGAGGATGGGGATGGGGGATGGTCGCGTCTTTGTGTGTGTCAATCTATCGTAATTTCAATCACGCAACAAACCTATTCAAACGGATCAAAATGGTGCTGCTACGCTACATAAACATTTTCGCCTGTTTCTAGGAGGTCGTGGTATCAAAAACATGTATGATTCGAGAGAGGAGAGGCATTGATGGATGGCCCTTGGAGGGGGGGTCCAGCTTTGTTATTTTTTCCATTCTCTCGATCCGAACTCATGTTGCCGGGATGGAAGCCTCGAGGTTTGTCTTAAAGGACTACTGTGAAGCTGTGAAGCTGTGAAGCTGTGAAGCTGTGAAGCTGTGAAGCTGTACGGGCCATCCATACCCCCGCATGAAATGAATAATGTTGGTCGCAATGTACTCCGTACATACGTGTAGTTGTGTATGATGAAATAATTAACTTTAACTAAACTAGTTAACTAACTACTTATCGCGCGATAGTTAGTAATCATTATTGTTGGTTGGGGGGAAACCTTGCCAAACCTTGCCAAATAAGTTACTCTCTTAATTAGTTACTCTCCCGACATCCAAAATTATTCCCCCTGGACAAACAACAAACCTTGCTCCAAACCTCCAAAGCATAGCATAGATAGCATAGCATAGCATATGAAGAAGAAAAAAAGACATTTGCCACAGACCACTCGCAAGGGACTAGTCAGTTGGGGATCTTATCTAGTTACTTGATTGGAATACTTTGTTGTGCTGACAATACTGACCGCACTACTCCGTAGTAGCAGCCAATAATGACCAACCAGTCCACGTACTGTACTGAGTTACTGTACGGAGTAGTTACTGCGTAGTTCCCTTGGGCCGTCCTAAATAACCTCAATTCCCTGGGGGCTCCTTGGCCTGGCGACTGAGCACACGAGTTGCCTTTGTTGCTCCAGAAAGCAAGGGGGGGAGACCCAGGAAAGTGGTTTCTCAAGATAACTTAAGCTTTTGTTGGCAAAACCATAATAATAAAATATGGGGAGGAACACGCGAATGGGCCCAGCTGGTTGGTTGGACGCCGTAGTTATATGCTCGAGAATACATGAGCGTGGAGGAGGAAAAGCTTGAATCAACAGCAAAGGCTGAATGAATGCCATGCCTTCCCCCCCTTTCCCCCCCCCCAAATCTTCTGGTGATGGGAAAACAATACATACACAGCGCAGTTATCGACTTATTATTATTATTATTTATCATGGATCACTGGCTACTGCCGAGGTAGTTAACAAATGGCAGTATACTGCAGTGATTGGGTACATGTACATGTATGTACTGTACATGTACATACATAGAAAGGCCAAAATTGCGCGCACTGTTAATATTTCCCCCCGCCGCGGTCAGGGCAATAATAATAATATTAGGATAGGAAGCAACTAGCAGGCAAGAAACCAGTCAGTTTTTCTTCTTATTAGTCTCGTCCAAGTGCCATTTTAGTGAGAGACTAGTGTTAGCATCCATAGCATCCATTCATGGCATTGGGTTCATCGAAAAACATCGGGTAGAGTGGGATATATCAGGAATTGCAAGAATATTAGAGCGAGTCCTTTTTTGTCTCCTTGACTGTCAGTGTTTTGTGTATTATTGTATGTTATGTATAGTTACAGTGCAGTGGGACAAATGGGACAGAATTAGGAATTTCAAGCCAAGCGATTTGTTGACGTGCATGTTTGTTCTATCTTACCTCAATTCTTCCAGAAGCTTTTGCGGCGTGTTTTTTTGTTTTTTTTTTGTCTGGTTCTCGAATGCTTATTTTGTTGTTGGATCTTGCCCGAAGCTCAAGAGCAAATCAAAAATGTCTGGCGTTGAACTCAAAACCACGCATGAGAGATTGAGATTGAGATGATTGACAGTTGAAGTGAGTGAGTGCGCGCTAAAAGCGAGACAATGCAACATTCCCCTTGCCCTAAGAAGAGCGCGCTACTGAATAGTTACTGTACTGAGGGAGAGAGTTCGCAGCTAGTCGGAGCTAGATGTAATCCAACCAGGTTCCTAGACAGCCGATCGGAGAGGAGTTTGGCCAAACGAGCATACTTCCATACCATAGTTACTATACGGAGTAACTACTCGATAACTCGTTGACATCATGACACACCATGGAACGGCCAAAGAACGGCCAGGCTGAGCGCGCCAAGCCTGTAAGATGCAACTCAATCTCCAATCTCTCTCTCTCTCTCTCTCTCTCTCTTTTGCTTGCTTGCTTGCTTGCTTGCTTCGGAGCCGATAAACTCGGCTGCTTCTTGTTCGTTCCCAAGGCGGCGTTCTTGGCCTTGTTGCCCAGGTCGGAGGAATATTGTTGTGCTATGTGCCCCAGAAAAGACACAAGCCAAGGCAAGACAAGCCAAGGCAGGGCAGGGCAGGGCAATGGGCAATGGGCAATGGGCAATGGGCAATAATAATAATGGGCGCTTGCTTGCGCTTTGGTTCTGTCATCCATGCATGGTTGGTTTGGTTGAACATGGGTAAAAAAACATGTAAATAGCTGATCTCCCCCGTTGTCGCCTCCCTCCGACTGTCCCCTGTCGCCGTCCCTTGATCCTTTCTTCCTTGCTTTTGGCGCCATCTTCGCGTATAATATTTCGTGTCCTCTGTTATGAGCCTTGCCCCCCCCCCCCCCTCAACAAGGGCCTTCGAGTTATGGCTTATAATGATGCTGCGGATAACCCGGACGCGGCTAGGAGCAATTGGACAGATGTATCGATTTCAGGGAAGGCAGATTTAAAGGAAATCGATCATTATGGCGACAGCGACGGCCCCGAGCCGACGGAACACGAGCTGGATACCCTCAGGCGCATTCCTGACAAAGTTCCCTGGATCTGCTTCACCGTTGCTTTCGTCGAGTTATGTGAACGGTTTGCCTATTATGGAACCACAATCGTCTGTACGTGCAGTTTTGTGTGTTTGAAACTCTTCACAATGCATCATAATGTAGTAGACTTATCAGGCTGATGAAATATTTACAGTGACCAATTTCGTCCAGCAACCGCTCCCGGAAGGATCTACTACCGGAAACGACCCTAGATCCAATGGCCAACCTGGAGGTGAATGGTTTTTTCCGGATATTGCTTGAAAACTTTGAGCTGACACTCTTCGTAGCTCTCGGCAAGGGTCAACGAGCTTCCCAGGGAATGGTATTGTGTACGCGCGACTCATGCTCTCCCACCAATTTCTTTTCTTTTTTTTTTTCTTTTTTTTCAATTCCTTCCAGATCGCTAACAATCTAGAAAAGTCAATAAAATGTGGTCGTATTTTGCTCCCCTCTTCGGCGGTATGTATGCATATCTAGTGTTAGCAATAAGGCGTTTCGGAAAACTAATATCATCGACTGCCAGGCTACTTCGCTGATACGAAATGGGGAAAAATGAGAACCATTCAATACTCTATTGCTCTTGCTATGTTTGGCCATATCATCCTTATCGTTTCCGCTCTTCCTCCCGTCATTCAGCATCCCGATGGAGCTCTGGGATGTCTCGCCATTGGCCTTCTGGTTTTCGGTGCTGGCGTGGGTGGTTTCAAGTGAGATTTATATACTTTCATCAGGCAGGGACACTTCGAAGCGTAGACGGAACTGACATTTTCTAGGCCTAATATTTCCCCGCTCATGGTTGAGCAATTGAAATATACGAAGATGCGCGTCGTTGAACGGAAAGGCGAAAAGATCATCCTGGACCCCGCTCTCACTACGCAGCGTGTTTTCATGTATTTCTATCTTTGCATTAACATCGGTTCCATCGTTGGTCAGGTTACCATGGTCTACGCCGAGCGCTACATTGGTTTCTGGCTCTCCTTCACACTCCCTACTGTAATGTTCTGCTTCTGCCCTCTTGTGCTGGGAGTGTTCCACAGCAGATACGTTCACTATCCGCCGACCGAATCCGTCCTAGGAAACGCCGTGAAACTTATCAGGTTTGCTTGCAAGGGGAAAATCTCCTGGAACCCTAGAAGAACGTAAGTAGCTTTAATCACTCTGACAGGAGGATTACACCATATCTGACCTCTGTAATAGTATTCGTAACCTAGGATCGCCGGCTTTCTGGAACGATGTCAAGCCTTCAAACGTCGCAAACAAGCCCAAGTGGATGACTTTCGACGATGCTTGGGTTGAACAAGTGGCCAGAGGAACCAAAGCCTGTTTGGTGTTTGCGTATTATCCACTCTTCTGTAAGGAAGAATACCTATGTCCTCGCCTGTTTCCTTGATACTGATAATGACCAGGGTTGGCGTACAATCAAATCGACGGGAATCTCACCTCCCAGGCTGCAACATTGGAGCTTCACGGCGTCCCGAACGATCTCATCAACAACCTCAACCCACTTGGGATTGTCATCATGATTCCGATTTTGGATTTAATTGTTTATCCGTGCCTGCGTTTCCTTAAAATTCGCTTCTCCCCGCTGCGACGGATGGCGGCTGGTTTCTTTATTGCCACTTGTGCGATGATCTGGGCTGCCGTTGTCCAACATTTCATCTATACCACAGGTGCTTGCGGGAGATACATGAATACCTGCCCTACTCCTGCTCCAATAAACGTCTGGGTCCAGGCTGGCTCGGTAAGAACCTCCATTCATAAAACAATCTTCCAATCAACCCAAATATTAATCCAAACCGATAGTATGTTCTCGTTGGTCTATCCGAGATCATGGCTTCGATCACTGGCCTTGAATATTCGTACACCAAAGCGCCTGCCAACATGAGAGGATTGGTTTTCGGTCAGTTTTCACGCTCTCTCTTTTGCTCTTATATCTTATTATTAAACTAGAATGCAAATATTAACACTCTCCGCTGAGATAGGTTTCTACCACTTCACCAGCGCTGTATCAGCGGCCCTTGGTCAAGCCTTCGTGTCCGTTTCTGAGGACCCCCTCCTCGTCTGGAACTACACTATTGTTGCCATTATCGCCTTCTTTGGTGGCGTTGTCTTCTGGTTCACATTCAGAGGTCTCGACAAGATGGAAGAGCAAATGAACATGATCCAAGAATCGGAGTACCGAGGCCTTGCAGGGGCAGACGCCGATGCCAAGGTTCTCGACGACGAATTGAAATCATAATCTACCACCCGTCTCGTTTCCTTTGATAAGTTTTTCCCCCTCTCTTCGTATGCGGCTTCCTCCTCTCTTTCCCTCCTCTTCTTTTTATTCCTTTTTATTCCTTTTATTCCATACCTCTCGAAGAGAGCGGAGGGGACAAAAATGCGTTCGAGTAGTAGCGAATATACCCCACTTTTTGCTACCTCTGCCTGCTCTGCATATATTCATGCGCATGCGCCGACAATACCACTTTTATTGATCTTTCCAACACTCCTTTTTAATAACTCTGAAAATTTTTAATGCGAGAAAACTAGCGTGGGCGCAGAATTTTCGGCATGAGTTCTTTTTACTCTGTCATCTATATTATTAGCTAGTTTTTAGGTCCAACCCTCCCACCCCCCCCTGCCCCCCGGTTATCTCCTTGTCTAGCCGCGAGGCCACAGTTAGTGCAATACCATTAGTGTATCAACTAAGCTATTAGTTCAGAAGTAGTTACCAATCAATAATTTCTCATACTACTCTACTCCGTACTGTGTAAATTCTATGCAAATCTGTGTTTTCTGCTCTATGCTTGTATATGATGTGTTCTCACTGCCAACTTTCTCATTCATCATCATCAAATTTCCCTGTCATTCACTCAAACTTGTGTGTCTGATGTCAGTATAAAAGAAAGAGAGCAAGGGAGAATAAAGATAGAGCTTCAAGATCAAAGATCTGGTTATACTGTATGTAATAATAACATTCCTAAGGTTAAGTTAGGTCAAATAGGGTTACATAAATTACACTAAAATTTAACACGCCAATTTAACCAGTAGATTACGCGTATTTAATACACTAATGTACAAGGCGTATGAGGAGTTCATATTTTTCCGTTTGCTCTCTTTTATTATTTATAACAAGGGACTTTGGCTCGAGAGTCGAGAGCGGCTTGGAAGAGAGATTAATGGCACATGCGCTTGGTTCTACATACGATACATACTCCCTACAAAAAGCCTAACTACTGTTTGTTGTAAGCGAGCGAGACGAGCTGGCGCCACAACGCGCTGATTCGGCCTTTTGGGCTTGGCTGAAACTCCTGGCTTGAAAAACCAGCGCTTGGCTTTGCATTTTTATTTTTTATATATTTGCGCACAATATATTTATATTAATAATTATTATTATTTAACTACTCCGTATTCTTCCCCGGAAAAACCCGCAGAGACCGCCGTCAGCTGATTGCGATTGAGGATGGCGCCCCCTCCACATGGTAGAACGCTCAGAAAGTTCCTCCTTGGAATAAAGAATAAAAGAGCTCGTTTCTAGGGTATAACTATATATCCCACCACCTATCAGTTTCCATTTTCCTGCCTCGGAGACTTATTTTAGACCATCCCATCCAGGGACTGGCTGTCAAAGGCACCAATTGAGAGCGAGATATATATATTTATATATATATATATATATATCTTAATCCATGAGCTTCTATTATCCGCGCGAAGGTTGGTCTGGGGGGCGGATGGTCAGATTCGGCCGCTTAGCTTCATATTATTGTAGTCAAAGCATTCCCGCGATTTGAGCTTTCCGGGCCGCACACACTACGGCGCAGTCCAATCAAATCCCCTAGCAGACTCTAAGACAAGAATAATCAGATGGTGAAAGATTCAGCTTGAGCACCAAGAGCACCAAGAGCGCCCGTCCTTCCAAGCCCAAAGGGGAAAAGCATCGATTTCACAACGAATCCATTCGTGTAAATATGCAAGTCAACCCTGTCAAACTTCCTCCGTACTATAGTTACTGTTAAATTTACTGCTTGAGAGCCGGCAATCACCACAGACGCAAAGATGACGATGGAGCATCCTTGTGAACGCCCCCCCCCTCATACTATTGGAATTCGTGCAGCAGTTTAATTCCCCTGCTCTCAGAAACTCAGGGTCTTTCTGGGTAGGAATTTCAGGGAATGTGTTCCGAGGGACGTTCCTTTCTCCATCGAACACTTGCCAGGGAACAATCTCGTATATTTCTTATCTATCTCGACCAAAAGCTACATATATATGTACTGTACATGTACATGTACATATTACAGTAATGCACTGGGAATGAGGCCCAAGACCCAAATCCCATGTTTGGCATCCCATTATCACAAGCCATGATGATGCGAGAACGGAACAGGCGCGAACATGGCCGCCTGATTGCTTAACTTTGCATTTAAGCCCTGGGAGTCTGGGACACCCATGCTCCCCGATCCAGCCCTTGACGGGCTGACACCGGCGAAAACTGCCTATCCCTACAGGTCTCGGCGGAGAGGGGACGAAGCAAAACCGTGTTGCATCCGTCGTACCGGTAGTTAACTATCAGATGCAAACGCAATGGTTATGCCAATATTGTCAAGTCCCAGAACGACCTCTATCTGGAAAACAGTTGATATGAGGAAGATAGATCGTTGTCTCTCCTATCCAGACAATAGAAAAGGAGGCGGGGATGTGCTTTTGACTGCTACCCCTCCGATACGGACCATGTATCACAGGCGTTTAGCCTCGCTGTTTTGGCGTCCTGTAGCATTACAGGTTTCGCATAGAGAGAGCCCGCAATTGAAAACAGCATCATTGCATTGAGTGCTCGACAAAGGCGGGTTCAGCTTGAGCTGACTCGTGGTACTGCCTGTTAAGTAGTTAGCACATGAATCAGTATGCCATCGAATATACGAGGAGCCTGATGGTTACGCAAAAGAAGTTGCCTGTCAATATAGAGATATCAAGGCAGATCGGCAAAAAGAGACATCAGATATCAGAGCCGCATTTTATTGCCGGCATGTAATTTTGTCCATTACTTGTATGGGGGCCACCTTGCGGGGGAACTATGTAACCATTACCATGCAGTGGACCTTCGGGTTTTCAATCAACCGGGAAAAGGAGGCTTGTTTTGGGCAATGCTGGGATGATAGCAGCTGAAATATCCCTTACAAGCAATGGCACGCCGTTGTATGTGCCGGGATTATTCACCAAAGCATACAGACTGTAGCACGCTGTCAATTAATTCTACTCGCACCGTCGCCGACTCAAACAAGGATAGACCATCACCTTCAGCGGCTAGATGAATACGCTCTGTTGCTACCCGATTTCAGTGAATCTTGACATTACGAGTAGTGGTTGGCGTGGCCCAAAGCTCAGAGATCATAGAGAACTGCCACTATACTGCCGTTATTGCACAGAGTGGAATATTTTTGATCGGAATCGCTGGCTCCTTAAGCTATGAGTGGCCGTTGAACCCTCATGATAATATCATGCAATCATATCCCGGATATATATGGGGAAATTGCAACTTCTCAGACGCAAGATCTGGCAAGATTGCATGAACACAGAATTACAGCATACACTCTACCTCCTGAAGGCATGCGAATAGGGTCCTAAAACTTGGTATATGTATGTACATGTACATGTACGTAAGTTCTTTCCTAGGTTCTAACCGTCGCCATCTAGTTACACTGCGTAACCAAGCTATAGATACTTTTTGTTCTCCATTTACAGCCTGCCTGTATTCGAGAAGGCTGTTGGGATTCTCTTTCCTCTCTGATACGATAGGTTATGGAGGTCGAAGAATTGCGGGACGAGGAGGCTGCGGCATGCACAGCCGGAACTCACCCCAGGCCTGATATGTAGCCAGATGATGAGAGAGATTTTCCAACTTTGGTGGCACCTTCTTGTCGCTAATGGCTTACTCGACTTGATTTCCAGCTATGCTGAGGATATCCCTGAGTGGGCAAGGAGGGGGCGTGCTCTATTTTGTAGGAGAAAGCCTGGGGAAGGGCTGTGAGTTAACAGGACTAGATACTGTTCATATTGATGGGTTTCTCTTCTGTCATTTGATACTTGCACTTTATCTCACTTTTGGTGACACTGATAACCCGGCTCAGGAAAAAACGGGAATTGTGCCACCGACGGACGGCACAACAGATAAGAGTGGAAAATCACATCTAATGATCCGGAGCCACCGTGAATGGAATAGAAACTGGAAGAATCAACAACCTGTAGTGGGCTATATACGTATAACTATGTTTTATGAGCCTATTTACATAAACACACAAAATTCCTACCATGAGAACAAAAAAGGGAGTCAAACATGACTGCGAGGCCCCGAATTTACCACTCCACTTGCCAATCACAAAACCTTAATCTCTGCCGGTCCCGTCAACGGCAAGTCAACCTTTGCGGATGACACCCCGGTTTCAGGATCATACTCGAACTGAGAACCCTCATCACCACCCTCCTTGGAAACTTTGGCCGGCTTCCCGTCACGACCCAGCACCGAGATAGAGGCGATCTTCAACTGGCCAATGGCCTCGTAGTCAAACTTACCCTCCATTCTGAATAGCCCCTTGCCATACGAGAATTGTATCTCCGTTCTATGCTTTTGCTCTAGAGATTCGCCATCGTCAAGGTATAGAGTTCCAGCAGCATTGCCATCAAGCCCGGGCGCAATGATAATGTCAAACGGTTGCTCGCGGAGGCCTTTGGTGGTGTTGGCACCGTTACTTCTAAGTGGGACGATGTTTCCCCCGCGGATATGGAGGGGGATGTGGGTGAAAGGGATATCGTTGAGAGTGATGGATTTGCCTTCGCCGCGGACTGGTTTGCCGGTGTAATAATCATAGAAGATATCGTCTGGCAGATATATGTCTACGCTTGTGGAATTCTCCTCCGTCACAGGGCTGACGAGAATGGCGTCTCCGTAGAAGAATTGAAGATCGATCGAGAAGGTGTTTTGGTCCTTAGGGTACAAGTAGAATAGCGGATTGAGGAGAGGTTCACCCGTCTTTGTCTGCCGGTAAAAGGCCGTATAAATGTAGTCAAGCAGTTTGTATCTAATTTCGATAGCTTTCCGGGCGGCTTCCGCGACCGACTCCCAGCGGTAGAATTCTTGGGATTCGGAGTCGAGACCGTTATGGTTACGGTAGAACGGGCTAAATGCACCAAGCATTGCCCATCTGGAGCAAAGAGTCTCCGTTGTGTTGCCTATAGACCCCAGTCAATTAATGAAATTCACCCCAAGCATCAATATTTATATGTGCGTACCTCCAAAGCCACAGACATCACTCCCCGTCATGGGTACTTGGAAGATGGATGTAAAAGCAAGCATCTGCCCGATTGATCTCCTATACTGTTCCCATGTGCTTAGATTATCGCCGAGCCTGTTCTCAAAATCGTCAGCACAGCCAACTAAATCTAGTTTCTCTTTTTGAACAACTGATCATGCTCACCATTTCCCAACATGGTTTCCAGCGCCCGCAAACGTACTACGCGTGATAACAAACGGCCTCACCGACGATCGTCTCTTGAGCATCGCAGTGCGAGATACTTGGCTCATCACTACAATCTTAATTAACCATCGATTCCAAAGGATCGAAAATAATATCGACGGAGGAAGAGAGAGAACTTACTGCTTCCGTAAATGTTATGTACATCATACTCAACCAAACCGTTTGCATGGACTAGGTCGGTGTCCGCAGTTTTGTTGCTGATGGATCCTGCCTGGTTGCGAATCTTGTACGGTGGGTTTATAAGCTCGCGGTTTGGAAGACCCTGCTTATGGCCATGTTTACCGTCTCTCTTCGCGCGGCTATGGGGCGGCTGGAACACTGGTGGAAATCCTGGAATGGGTCGTGGATTCAGTCGCACTGCGGGTGGTTCAGGGGGAAACTTGTTATCTACTGCGTACTTTTCTGGATCCTTACAAGGGTAGTTGCAGAAATTGGCAGGTTCATTCATGTCGATCCATAAGCCGTCGATATCTACTCCAGTTTGCGCGTCGAAAAATTGGGCAAATTCGTTCACCCAGTAGTTTTCTGCATTTGGATGGAACCAGTCTGGGAACGCTGTCACACCAGGCCACACAACACCTACTCGGGATTAGAAACGGGAACTTAAATTGTCGACATCTTTGATGCATACCTGTGTATATGGAACCATCAGCTCTTTTCAAAAAGATATCTTGCTCCACCCCCCTGTTGAACGCTCCATTATCAGAATACGCCACCGCAGGATCCACCATCACAATGTAATGTTGGTCATGCTGATGCAAGTAGTCCACGAGTCCCCGGACCTTTTTTATCGGAAATCGCTTCGGATCTAGGGTAAAAACTTTGCGGCGATCCATGTAGTCGATGTCCGTCCACATCGTCTCAAGCGGAATATTCGCCTGACTGTAATTATAGACCACCTCGGCAACGTCAAAGGCATCTCGATATCCATAGCGGCATTGATGGAACTATTTTAACGTCAACGAGGCGTTTTCTATCAACAGGAACGAAATAGCGGTAGGAGTATCTGTAAAATGGAAACCCACCCCAAACCCCCAGTAAGGCATCATGGCCGGTAGTCCCACCACCTCTGCGTATTGAGAGGCAGCTTGTTTTGGAGTCGGGCCAGCAAAGAAGTAAAGATCAATGATTCCACCTAGTTGATGTCGATCAATAAAAGATCCACCAAACCTCACTTTTTTCTGCGTCACTAACCTAGAGAATTGTATTCTAGATATTGACCACCATTCTCATTCCTATCGATCTTGACGTCCATGCCGTTAGAGTTAAGGAGAAACACGCCGTGAGTACCGGCTTCACCTCTGTGGTCAATGTAGACCGGGTGGTCGCCATATAAATTGGTCCCGGGCGGGATTCCGTATGCATCACGATTCCATAGAGTTGCAGTATAGTTCGTAGTATTCAGGCGGAAGGGATTTGTGTGCTCCCCCATGCCATAAAGGTTTGGGTCTGTTGGCAGGGAAGTGCGGAGATTCAAGTATTGCGATTGGAAGACGAGATTGGACCCTGCGGTATCAAAGAGAACCTCGCCATTATCTCTACGTGATACGGAAAAGGAAAATGGGGTTTCCACGTAAGAAAATTTCAGCAAAGATTTATGGTCTCCTCGTTCAGGCTGTGGCCGGGGGAAGACTGATTCTGGAACCTGGTAAACATCCTCATCGGCGTCATGAATTTTCACATGAAGCCGTGAATCTGCCATTCCAATGTCAATCGATTAGTACTAGACACTATTTAAATTTGTGAATATCATGACGCTTACCAGTTTCATATTCGACCCTGAGCTTCAGGTTCTTCAAGTCTTGGCCGTAGGTATTACATGGCTGCCCCGCGAGATGTAAGTCTGCAACGACAACGTTTTCTAGTTCATGGAAATTTGAAGCTTTATATCCGGGGCATTTAGCGATTGGAAGGGGCCCTTTTGGAGGCCGACAAGCAGCGCTCACAAGGCCGGGTAGGAGCAACAAGATGGGCTTCATATTTGTAGGACTGAAAGACAGGCTAGCTTTTCATCAAATAAACAACGTGGGTAGTTGGACCGAATTTATAGCCATAGCTCCATCTCCGAATCATCTTTAATAACCGTCCCGAAGATCCCCGGCACAATGATAGCAATGCAAGACATGCTGTAGAGTACAACAGTAACATCTTGCGGAGATTTGCATGCGTCTTTCTTTGTTGAATGTGGATAGGGCGACCGGAAAACTCGACGTATTTCGGGCGCGTTCTGGGCCCTAAACCCAGCTTCCCCAGCGTAGAGCATTCTTAGAAAACGTAATTGAGGCGGTTGATCATCGTAATAGCGCCATCTTTCCTTGACCTGTGCTTAGCTATTTGTTGTTATTCTCGACTTTGTGAAGTGCTTGCTCGTTTGACCACTGACTCTTTTCGAGCTTCAAGCTTCAAAGTGGAGGTCAAAAATCAGAGTCGGCTATTCAAAGTAGCATTGACTCTGGAAAATAAAAAATGCCCCTGGAGTTCATTCATCCTGCCATTATTTCTGTTCGAAGCTGAAGAACTTTTTTCTTTTTCCTCTGGGCAAAATCTTGTGGCAGGATGGAGCTTGCTTGCCAACCAAATTATCCAACATTAGGGCCGAGAGATCGTCGCCTTTACGCTGCGTAGTAGCAATTCGACGCTGGGAATCCGACTAAAACCTGGCACTAGCAGCACTTGTATGGGATCTGGAACAACCAACAGCGCCTTTGCGGTCCTCGATGGGGGCAATCTGCAGATTTCTTCCCTGAGTCAATTGACCGTCTATTGGCCGTCTATCATCACCTCAGGTAAGCAAAATCGAAGAATGTTCTAAGGTAACTATGGTTATCATTTTCAAAGGAGAAATCATTATTTGTGAGTTCCGAGCAGCACTGACAGGAAAAGGGTGCTGTCAATCTAGCTGGGTAGTTAAGCAACAGTTTGACATCTCCTCGTTTCTGTTTCTAGAGAACCTTTTTCCCCTGGATATATCTTAGTACCCCCCTCGAGAAATCCTGACATTAAGTTTCCCGGTATGTCCCCCCTGAAGCGGGAAAGCATGTGTCTTAACTAAATGAGACGTTTTTCCGTTAGACTAGAGATGATATCCTTAAAACAACGGGTTATCAGTTCAATTTTTAACGTTTTGATTGCTCTAGTTACCATCTTGCAATAGCGGAATTAAAACCAACCTAGGCTCATCAAACTATCAAGTTGGAAACAGTGTATGAGGGCAAGGACATATCTCCGTGTCCCCAGAGAAGTTTTCTGAAGTTAATAAATGGAAAAGGGGGATATTTGATATTTCCCTCTTGGCTCTATTTTTAGGCCTGTATAACTTTCTCTGGTTCACTGGGGCCGTTACATACCTACAGGGCTGAGATAGGTTCTTGTTTCTTCTGGATCAATACCTTGAGTCGGTGCTATCTTCTCTTTCTGCTGAATATATGACCCAGTGAAGGTGAACAATGCCGGAGCAAGCTCCTCAGGTTTTCCAATTTCATGCCTGGGCTTGATGGAATCAATGTCAATGACCCGGGGTTATTGGAATTGGCTCAAGGCGAAGTTGCATGTCAGAAGTTGTCAGGAAGTCAGTGTACTAGAGGCTCGGAGCCGAGAATATCTAATAAAACTTCAATCAAGTATTCATTTTACTATATAAAATTATCAAAAATTATCAGAAAATATATATAGTATTTTAACTATAGATACTTTAATTAATAGAAAATTGAAAAATTAACCTTTTAAAATAGTAGAAATGATTTATAAATAATATTATACAGTAATTATATTTTAAATATTATAATTAAAATATATCATTTCTATATTTATTAATAAACAGAAATCATTTTTCTCAGACACTCTATAAAGAGTTTAAAATATTTCATTTGAGAATAGTGTAAGCTCTCTGACAGTTGATTGACTCAGAAGGTAGCAGAACTTGACAGAAAGTGACAGTAGTTCAGACTGAATTAGCTTGAAGTGAAGTGACTGAGTTCACTGAGATAATGTTTGGCCCTTATTGGAAAAATCCAAGGAGGTCAGCCTCATTTTGTCCCAAGGTAAGTGTGTGGTTCATCCTTCAACGCCCGTTCTCAGAGCATTTTGCAAGGATTAAGGGAGCGAGTCATACAACAATTCACACTGTAAGCCTTTCCTGTTCAGATTAACGTGCTTTATTAACTCAATGCTTGGAGCTCTGAAGAGACCAAGAAGAATTTAATAATTTCAAAACTAGTCAAATAAATCACACAAAATCGGCTGTAATAATTCACAGTAGGGTATTAAGCATTGATGTAGAATCATATTTAAGTACATGTCTTCAGCTCGGAAGCCTGGGGCCTTTATCACTAGTTGTTTGGCTGGCCTCATCACCGGCCGTATCAAGGGACTCGCTGGCACGGATCTTCGGCGTTTTCGGATTTCCCGGAGGGACTTCTTCAACTGGAGCTGCAAAACTCCATTGGGCATCTTGATATTCGTTGGTTGACCCATCAGAATCATCCAGGATAGGCGTTGAATCTGAAGTGGTCCGGCGTTGGGAGATAGAAGAGTGAGCCTCGGAGTGCCTTTTATTTGCCGCTCTAATAAGTTCATCATCTCTTATTTCTTTTGCCCAATCTCGACCATTTCGGTATGCAGAAGCTCCTTGTCGAAAGGCCTCAGATGTATCAGTAAGGGCAAATGATCGGAGCTGTGTCATAAAATATTCAGGACGGCTATCTGGATTGTCTGACTTGCTGACATGTGTGGTGTACAGCTTTAATGTACCGCCGTGGTAAGTCGATGTAAGAGTGTAACCATTGTTATTGTAGGTTGGTTCTTGCTGATAGGATTGTAGAGTATGCATTCCGCGGGCACCCAGGGCGCCATTGTAGCATGCTTGCCGCGTGGTCACAGCAAGAGATCCATCAGGGCCTTTTACCTCCAAAAAGAAGTTTGGCATCATCGGGAGATCATCCTGTGTTGATGGGATAATTTGATCACTAAGAGCTTCGCGGATTGAATGATTCCGCTGTTCAGGACGTGCACCAAAAAAGTGATCTGGTTTGGCTGAAGACAATGTTCCATCAGTTAAGGGAGCAAGATTTCCAAATGAATACTCCCCTCCGACACATTTATGGTCACCAATATCACCATCAAGAACTGGATTCACTGAGATTGTAACAGGCTCTTTAGATGCATGCGCATCTGCTTCTCTAAAGTCCTCAAAGCACTTTTCAGAGAATTTTGAGGGAGAAAGAGAGGCTCGTGGTTGTGCCAATCTTTCCTGGATCTCCGCCAAGTTATCAGGTTTTGGCGTCAGGGTATTTATACTCCGGGGGATAAACACTGTGGTCGATTAGATGCTGCTGAAAATGGAGCTGGGCGTCCTTGAGCTCATCAGAACTGGATACTAACACACGTTAGTTGCTCTAAGTCGGCCTCAGTTTGTAGTTACATACATTCTTCAAATCAGATAGATCGGGACCACCCAATCTTGAGAGTCTTGTTATCTCCTTTAACTGAGTAGGCGAACAGTCACATAGAAACCCAGGAAGCCGAACGAGTTCCAGGCGCGAGTCCTGCTCAGCCTGAAACTGGCGGGTGTTGGGCCTACAGTGCCGGCGGTTAACCGGTTTGTGAAGCTTTTGCAGTTGTTTGAAAGTGCTGTTTCTTCGGTCGTGCTCTCTTATCGCATTTTTGGTTAAATAAATCTTCGACAAATTATCCCAGTAAGCTGAAGTGGAATGGTCAAGCTGCTGTCTCTTCGAGTGACGCTCTGAAGGATGCTCAGCTTGCTGCTGCCTCTTGCGCAGGTTGGAAGCTCCCAGTGGAGGCATATGGAGGGCAGGTGGAGTTAGCACTTCGATCATTCAGGTCAGAAGAAGTAAAGGTCTTTCTTTATATGATGCCCATCCATCCTGCCCTGGGCGCGTAGAGCGATTATTCTGTCAAAGCAACGTACGCAGTACCATTGGGGGCCAAGACGCTAAGTCAAATAAGGAATGATCGCTGTTTTAGCTCCTTCTTTGCATGGTGAGAATACAAAACCCTTGTACGGGGGTTGAATTGCTTTGACAGCCGGGGATATATATATATATATCGTGCCTCATTTGAGGGCAATTGTTCCCTCTGTCGATAATATTTTATTTTTATTTCATTCCTTTTCCCTCTTCCGATTGTAGGGTTCGGGTAAAATTTAACATTTGCTGGAAAGGCCACGGACTCACCCCGTTCCAGAAACTGAGACTTCGCATAAGCTTGAATGAAATCCATTGATTAAATATAACCTCTAGATAATAGTAGTCGCATTCATGCAGCAAATATGCAAGCCACCATGTGCGACTTCCGCATTCAGTTACTGAGTGGATGGAGGGGTAATATGAGGCGGGGCTCTCAGCGCCGAGCCCCTAGTACGACTTCTTGGACACTGTACGGAGTACATGTGTACATGTATGTACTACTGTACATGGAACATATGTACATGTACATACATGACTCAAGAGGTCTCTGGGATATGGAGCGATGATGGAGGCAAGCAAGGAGATGAATCAGTAGTGTGTCAGTTTTGCCGTTCACAGCTGCGCGTATAACTAGAGGTTCTATGGGGGCCCTAGGTGGTGTTATAAACTGGGTTCTATTTCGTGGAGTTCAGCCACCGAGATAATTCGCCTGGAGATGCGGGAAACGTCACTGTGCGAGATTGCGGGGCCCGAAAAAACACCACTCCGTAGGGTAATCGATTGATTGGAGAGAAGCAACCCCACTACTACTCCGTACATATTCTTCCGTTCTCAAAAACCAATATTGCAAGGGATATGCGCATGGCTGCGGCGCGTTTTTTGACCACTTTCAGTTTAGAGCCTTCTTGACTTTGGATGCCCTGAGTAGGCCATGACCGAAGTGCCTGAGATCCAAACGGATCCTTGTACTACTGTAAAGCTCATCAATCCATGGGTCTAAGTAAGGATCCTTGCTCTAGAAGCCTTTGAAAACGGCCGGTTAATCCTCCCGCTCGTCGGTGGCCATAGAGTTGATGTCGACAGTCTCTGAAAAACAAATCTCATCCAATCCAAATTTTCTTGGGGGGCAAAAATCCGAACCGCGTTATCAACTAGGCGGGTTTGTCGAATCGAATCTGTGCAATGATGGTATAATATAAATATATTGTCCCAATTCGCCTCAACAAGCCTCTCGGAGTTGAAGAAGTGAAGTGGAATAAAAGATATAGACATGAGAGCGAGTAGTTAACCAAGTTATTTATTAGTGATGCTGCTGACAAAGCCTTAGTTAACTAACTAGTTAAATCATGTGGCGCTGCAATTTTCTCCACGCCAGCCCTAGGCAGCACAGCGATAGAAAAGAGCACAAACATGACATGCCTTCACCAGAGTTTTGTGAAGCCCTGCTATTGTTGGCAACTCTCACACTATTAGCATAGCTCTAGGAATGTATCATTAACGTTACACGATTGGCCAGACTAACTAACAGCTAGGGTTGCCAGGTTGTACGGTTGCCAGTATATATAGCTTACTCCCCCACAACTTCAATTCACACGGCCAACTGAACGCTATCTCTAAGCATGATTGAAGCTGCTGGTTATCAGCTTACTCCCTATTATATACAATAATCATGGACTCTTCTTCACCAAGGACCTCGGGTCATGAGCCCCATGAACCCAATGGACTCCATGAATCGCATCAAGCTCATATACCCTCCAGAGTAACGTATACGGATGACTTGCCTACCTATGACTATGATGCTATGTGCGGGCAGATGGATATCAAACAGAGCGGTATTGACACAAATGCCCAAGTTGCAGGTACGTTGATATAGGGGTGTCATGCCTCCCCCCCACCCCAGGGCACCCTATCATTTTGCTGACAGTTATAGATGATGGTCGTGTCAACATCAATATCAAGGAACGTCGTGGAAGCCTGTCTAAGATATTAGGCCCAGCTTTTGAGACACAACAGAACCATCCTTTTGGTGCCTCCGCCTCGCTTGTTGGAGCAGATACGGGCCTCCCTGTCCCACGACTGAACATAGTTATTCAGATTGTTGGCTCTCGAGGGGATGTACAACCGTTTGTGGCCTTGGGCCGGGAATTGAAAAATGGGTACGGCCATCGTGTACGACTGGCCACCCATCCTACTTTCAAGCAATTTGTAGAGGAGAATGAACTAGAGTTTTTCTCCATTGGGGGTGATCCCGCTGAGCTCATGGCCTTTATGGTGAAAAACCCGGGCTTGATGCCCGGTTTCGATGCTATGTTCAACGGGGACATAGGCAAGCGTCGGAAGGAAATTTCAGAGATAATATCAGGCTGTTGGCGGTCGTGCTTCGAGGCTGGAGATGGCACTGGCGTCCCAGTCACGGATGATAATTTCGATGCCACCCAACTTGAAGGTGTCGAGCCGTTTGTTGCCGATGCGATTATAGCAAACCCGCCTAGCTTCGCTCACATCCATTGTGCCGAGAAGCTAGGTATTCCATTGCACCTTATGTTCACGTACGTTCCGCCTACGATTTGGCGAGCAATCTATCAAGCGTAACTAAACTGATCTAGTATTTAGTATGCCATGGTCTCCAACCCAGGCTTTCCACCACCCCTTAGCGAACGTTCAATTTTCTGATGCCGAAGTGGGAATTGCTAACTTTGTAACATATGCTCTTGTGGAGATGTTAACCTGGCAAGGCTTAGGTGATGTCATCAATAGGTTTAGGGAGCGGTCCCTTGGGTTGGACCCAATGAGTATGATGTGGGCTCCAGGCATATTGCCTCGACTTCGTATATCTTTTACCTACTGCTGGTACGCATGCCAATTAATCCTACTGCAAATGAGTTAACCCTTTGACTTTCAATTCAGGTCACCCGCTTTGATTCCCAAACCCAAGGACTGGGGTCCCCATATTGACATCGCTGGGTTCTTCTTTCTTCCTCTGGCTTCGAACTATACGCCACCCGATGATTTGGCGGCGTTCCTCGCAGCTGGACCTCCTCCAGTATATATCGGGTTTGGTTCCATCGTTCTTGATGACCCCAATGCAATGACCGAACTTATTTTCGACGCTATTAGAAAAACAGGACAGAGAGCATTAGTTTCCAAAGGATGGGGAGGTTTCGGTGCAGAAGAATTCGAAATCCCAGAGGGTGTTTTCATGATAGGAAACTGCCCTCATGACTGGTTATTCAAACGCGTGAGCTGCGTTGTTCATCATGGAGGTGCCGGCACGACTGCAGCAGGTATTGCATTGGGAAAGCCGACCGTCGTCATCCCATTCTTTGGAGACCAACCGTTCTGGGGTTCCATGGTTGCGAAGGCAGGGGCAGGCCCTAAGCCAATTCATCACAAGGAACTGACCGCAGACAACCTGGCGGCTGCCATCACTGCTGCACTCGAACCAGGGGCCAAACGCAAAGCAGAAGAGCTTGGGGCAAAAATTAGCCACGAGCAGGGTGTACAAGCAGGCGGAAAATCGTTTCACAAGGAACTGGACATCGACTCGTTGCGCTGCATGGTCCTTCGCAATAAACCTGCTGTGTGGCTTGTTAAGAATTCCAATATCCGCTTAAGCTCATTGGCAGTAACAACGCTTGCAAATGAAGGAATTTTGGATCTTGGCGACCTCAAGATGTGAGCAATCCGTCAATGCCCTACACGAGGTGAAGGTTCAACTACTGATGATTTCTCACAGATATCGGCCACGGGAGTATCATACAGAACCCGGACCCCGAGATCCAATAACTGGAGGAGCCGGCGCCTTGATAGAGACACTTGGAGATTTTACCATGGGCGTTGCTGATATTCCGACTGATATCTTATTTGCTTTAACAAGCTCTGCCTGCCGTCGCCATGCGAAGAGAAAGTCAAAATCTGCCTCACATTCGCGTAAGGGTTCGCAGGTGTCTGCGGACACCGCTACACCGTCGCTTACCTCGACCACTACTCCCTCAGAAATAGGAACTGGCTCTGAGCATTGCATTCCTATTGTATCTGTTGAGGATAACTCAGATGGTATAACCGAACGCACGTCTGCTAGTAGTCCAGAGCGTGATGGTTCCGTGTACGTATAGCTTGCTCACCGTGTTGTAAAAATCACTATTTCTCCGCATACTAACTACTCATCCCATAAGCCCAAGGATTCACAAACGCAAGTCCTCGGAAATCCGGAATATTAGGGCTGCGGACATCGTACTTGCAGGGCAGACGGCGAAGAGGATGATCAATATGGGCCTCAAGTCCCCAATGGGATTCAGCTTGGGTGTAGCAAAGGGGTTTCACAATGCCCCGAAATTGTATGGTGATACCACCGTGAGGGAGTCTCCAAAGGTTACGGGCTTCCACAGCGGCCTGAAAGCTGCTGGAAAGGTATAGAATTTAACGACACTAGTATGGCTCTTAAGACTTCAACGCTAACTCTAGAATAGGAGCTCGGATACGGATTCTACGACGGAATCTCTGGCCTGGTTACGCAACCCCTTGCTGGGGCCAAAGACGGAGTTGGTGGTATGGTGAAAGGCTTTGGCAAAGGAATAGGTGGTTTGATACTTAAGCCAGGAGCAGGTAACTACGCATTCCTCTTCCATTATGCCACATAGCTGTGGTTCTGATATGTGTGCTTCCCTAGGAATCTTTGCCTTGACAGGCTATACCATGAGTGGCGTTTACAAAGAAATCCAAAAACGCTTGGGAACGAGCGTTGATAACTATATTATCGCGTCGCGAAGTATAGAAGGATACGAAGAATGGAAACAGGCTCCCAAGGGCGTGCGCGATGCAATTGTTCGAGGTTGGTACTCTCTCCGGGCCAACCCAGATGTCAAGATAAGGGGTTC